GCTGCCGGTTGGGTTTGGCAGCATCAAGGGTTGGCGCTACCAGCGGCGCGGAGGGGCTCCGGCGGGGGGGCAGCCCATGCGCGCCTGGGATGCCCCGCCGCCGGTTTCCCCCGAGGCTTTCAAAGCCGTGGAGGGGCTCCGGCGGCGGGGCATCCGGTGTACAAGACGACCCCCGATTTTTGGGGGATGTTTTTTAACATCAGAGGTCGTCTTGTACGCCGGAATATACGGTATGTGAAATGTTAGTGTCTGTACGGTGCTTAAAGTTTGAAAACAAATTTATGTTATATATTGTACTTGTAAAGATATGTATTTTCAGAAAAGCACTTCTAAAATTCATATTTTTACAAACATGGTGTTCTAAAGACAATTGGAAATGTAAAGTACACTGTTCCATATATATTTTTAAATAACACGAAATATGCACTATCAACTCTTTTTATGAGTGCATGGTGGAAGCATTATCTATATTCTAATGTTTGTTGTTGCCACTTGAACATAGAATATACCTTTTCAAATACTAATTTATCACTGTAAACAGCACTATCCCGTAGGAGAAACAAAACATTAGAACCCTGTCCTGAAGAGTTAAAAGTTAGAGATGTACAACTAATTGATGTTTTGGGTTGCTGGCAGCTCCAAAAATTGAGGAAAAAATTGCTTTGGGTCAACTAGAAACCTAAATTTATTAGAATTTTCAGTGAATGGAAAAATGAGAAAAATGTTATTGCATCAAACAAACCATTTTTGTTCTAAATTAAATATTTGGTTTTAATATATCTGGCATCTGTGTTTTTAAATAAAAGTAAAGAAACTGAAGGGCTATATTTACAAAGGCATCACTCACAAAATGAAGGAGGAGGTTCCTAATAGGGCAAGGGCATTCATGTGGAAGACCCAAATTCAAATCACTGATGTTCAGCAAAGACTTCAGACCTAGGTCTCCCTTATTCCTGGTGAATGCCCTAACCACTAAGCTATTAGTTATTCTGTAATGGGTCTCTCTGTCTCTTCTGTTGAATATGTTGCACTTTGTGTAAAATACAGTACATTCAGAGAGTGATGATGAATCCTTAGTATTGTCACTAGGAAGAGGTGATTTCTGGATCCTAGTCTCTACTCCAGTAAAATTATTTTTACAAAATAGAAGAGCTTCAATAGGAGACAATGAGAGAGACCCACCTGTGAATAACCAATACCATTGTTTTTAAGGCACCTACCAGGAAGAGACTGTAGAGAAGAATATATGAGATTTAGTCTAAGGAAAGTGATCAGTGGTAGCATTTTTGATAGATTTGAGAAGAGGAAGTTAAAAGTGTAAAGCCAGAATGCAGGGGATTGCAATGGGGAAGGTTGGAGATAAGGGCATGGACATTAATACTACTTAGATAGAATTACATGTCTGAAGTTCCTGTATTCTCTCATCAACCCCAAAATATTAAACAAAAGTAATATTTTTCTTTGTTTTGGATCATCACATCATCATATATATAGTAGCCCAATGTCTCTGAGTCTGTAACGCTGAAATGCTGGCTGTTCCCGATCACCTTATTATCTTCTAGGTGTTTCCAGAGAATATCCTTAAGTACTTGTTCCATTATCTTTCCTGGCACAGAAGTTAAACTAACTGGTCTGTAGTTTCCTGGGTTGTGCTTATTTCCCTTTTTATAGATGGGCACTAGATTTGCCCTTTTCCAGTCTTCTGGAATCGCTCCTTTCTTCCAAGATTTTCTGAAGATGATAGAGGAGGTATCTGAGCCTCTAGCTATCAGCTCCTTGAGTATTCTAGGATGCATTTCATCAGGCCCTGGTGACTTGCAGACATCTAACTTTAAGTGATTAACTTGTTCTTTATTTTCTTCTAAACCTACCCCCTATTCACTACGTTAAGCATTCCTTCAGACGACTTCTCGGTGAAGACCAAAACAAAGAAGTCATTGAGCATCTCCGCCATTTCCAAGTTTCCTGTTACTGTTTCTCCCTCCTCACTGACCAGTGGGCCTACCCTGTCCTTGGTCTTCCTCTTGCTTCTAATATATTTATAGAACATCATCTTGTTTCCCTTTATGTCTGTAGCTAGTGTGAGCTCATTTTGTGCCTTTGCCTTTCTAATCTTGCCCCTGCATACCTGTGTCATTTGTCCTAGTTTCCATTTTTTAATAGGACTTGTTTATTTTTAGATCATGCAAGATCTCCTGGTTAAGCCAAGGCGGTCTTTTGCCATATTTTCCATCTTTCCTACGCAGCGGAATAGTTTGCTTTTGGGGCCTTAATAATGTCCCTTTGAAAAACTGCCAACTCAGTCTTGCCTCTTAATTTGTGCAATCCTTTGTCTCAGAGAAGGGTCCAATTCCAGGAGAGAGACCAGTACTGAATGAGTT